AAGGAAGGAAGGAAAAGAAGAGAAAGGCATAATTGCTTACAGAGCCCAGTGTACTTTCTTATTACCTTGTTCTTTTGCAAGCAGTTGATGGGGAAATGGAGGTTGTCTTATCATGTAATAATGAGGCTCATTAATGGCTTCACAACTTTGGTGTTCCAAACCCCAACAGTCCAATAATTTGCTGAATTTTTTTCATTGAAAGTATATTAATTTATAGTTACCCATCAGTTATTTCATCCACCCTCAGTGATCTCACAAAATTGTTTTTTAACACTCAGTTTTTAAAAAAATGCTTACCCAGTATGACCACACCTTTTCTAATTTCTTTGTTGCTCTTCCTCTCCTATCTGATTGTAAAAATTGCCAAGTCAGATCTCTATTCCAGCCAAGCAGAAGTCCTTGCTATTACCCAAAATGCTTTAATTATTATCACCTCTATACTTTTGCCTTCAATGTCTACCCCTTCTCAGCCTATCTAAATGCTACCCATTGTTCAAATTTTAAATCATCCCACTTATCCTAACCATTCTGGATGACAATGGATCTATCCCTCTTTACTGTATGACATCTTTGGGCATATATCTGATATTCTGTGTGTATACTGTGAGACATGTGGAACAAGCAGTCCAAGTCAACTTATGTGTTACCATAAACCTAAGAAAAGGCAATGTGCCACGATAGTAATTATCCAGCAAATGAGTATACTATCAGAACTATTCACCAGGTGGCACTCTTCAGGCCACTGGCCAAGTTTTGTTGCCTCCAGTTCTCTCCGGTACGTACATATATGAGAGAACCTTCTGCACTGCAATGCCATGTGGTTCCAAATATCAGTGCCAGAAGATTTTTAAATACTTATGCTGGCTGGGCTATAAATTTAGTATGAGATAAAACCTCCAAATGGGGTCATGAAGAGTCAGACATGACTGGAAGGACTAAATGACAACTGCCGAATAACTTTCAAGAATATTTTTAAAGTGAGAAAACCTGTTGCTCCCCCCATGCTACATCTGGAATCTTCTCTCTAAGTCAATGATTCCCACCTTCACAGTACATAGGCACGTGTCTATGGCCACATAATGAAATAAAACAATCCCAAGGTATACATTATTCTTTCCTGTAATTCTATGTAGTATCCCTAGTGGATGGCTGATACTTCTACGTCACTACCCAATTCAGTGCTAATTTTGAATCTAGGAGATACAGCCATTATTAAATAATGATGGATCTTTGCTTACCTCAGGGCTTATGAGTCTAGCTCTCAATCCACTATGCCATGCTGCCTCTTTAATGTTTTTAGTCTCCTAAAATCCTTCTTGGCTACAGAGTGATAAATTTCTGTTTAGTTCCTACAGCTGATGCAAGGTTCAGGATGTCCTGCCTTTACCACAGATTTCATTCCTGTGAAGGTGGGAGTTTATTAGATATAGAAAAAAATTAAAGGCAAAATATAAAGGCCTTCTACATGGAAATCTCTGCCCCCTAATCTCCCCAAACTGCTCCCAATTAATTTCTCCATTATTCAAGCGTGTCTGGGGAATTTCTAAACTTCACTTGACCACAGACTGTGGAGAGGGAACAAAGGGGATGGAATTTAGGTCTAGGTCCCCAGTTCCAGACCACAGGGTATCGAACAAAGGAAGTCAGAGAAGTGTAGAGAGGGACATCTGTCTTCCCACTTCTAGTTCACCAATCTACAATTGCTGAAAACTGTCTCTAGTACTTTGGATCTCCTCTCATTCTAGCCTTAGCTTCTACTCCCAGGTCTGGGTTACCTCTGCCTCACTGATCTCTGCATGCTAATTTCAGCTTTTAAGCATCTGGTCTTGGTCATTGCAAATAGAAGTTCAGACAGGAGCATTTCATGCCACTCATCATTCTCCAATCCCCAAAGTCTAAATCTGATTGGACTTAATTAACTCCCCAATCTCTATCTCTCATCTGGAAACCCAGAAGCCTGTCTCATCATGTCAACTTCTACTGGCCTGCATTCTTAAGAGCTAGACCGCTTTTCATATTGAACATTTAAGATGTAATCTGATTCAAATAGAGAAAAGATTTTAAGTCCAGGTATGTGGTGACTTCTTCATAATGAGAGTAGAAGAAAAAAGCCCAGGTCAATAAAATAGCATACAACTGTGTTTTCTAAAAAGCTTTGTAGCAAATGGGAACCAGATTTTTCAATTAGTCTTCAATGCTTTATTTTGTTTTGCTTGTTATTGTTGTTTTGTGATGCACCTGGGGCCTAAGAGTATAAAAGAACACTCCTACTGAACCTAATGCTGTTCATTGGTTCCAAGAAAATAGGACATTAAACAAAAATACAAAGGGGTCATTGGTTCCACAGGAACAGTGTTAGGGGAGAACAGAGTGAAGGAGAGGAGAAAAGAGAGAAAAAATTTTGAGGGGAGTGAGCCACCCTCCTCTGGGTTTACTTATAATTTATTAATAGCATTAATGAGGAATAAGGTTGGTAAGAACAATGATGAAAGTCATGCTTATACTCTGTTCATCTGTAATGTTGCCCAAGCAGAGTGACTGGGATCTTCGGAAAACTAAGAACTGAATGTGAGGAATAGATAAGGCTGCTTGGTAGGGTGGTGTAAAACACTAGGTATGAAGTTAGAACACCTCGGTTTGAGTCCAGACATAGCCACTTGCCATAAATGCAACAGTGGACAATTAACTTTCCTTCTCTGCGCGTTAGCTTCCTCATGTATAAAATGAATGGTTGATATTAAAGGTCCCTTCAAACTCTAAAATCCTAAGTAGGAAATGTTGAAGAGGGTAATGAAAGCTAACCTGGGAAAGAATTCAAGTAACTTAGGCAAAGGGCTGAGGAAGAGAGAAAAGGAGGGAGACAAAGAATATGCAGTGGTGTTACTTTTTCACAGTTTGACCTGAGCTTCTGGACTTTTGAAATGGATCTTCATCAATACTGCCCAAATGTAATATATCCAGTGCACCCCTAAAGGCTCATGTACTTCTGCCTCTGCTATGAAGTCTGTTAGTAAGCATTTGTCAAGCACCTGCTATGTGACATGTACCATGCTAAGCACTGAGGATACAAAGAAAAGCAAAGGACAGCCCCTGCCCTGTAGGAACTTACAATCTAATGGGGGAGACAACATATAAACAACTATGTAAAAAGAAGTGATATAAAGGAGAAATTGGAAATAATCAACAAAAGGAAGGCACTAGAATGAAGAGGGATTGGGATTTTAGCTGGGATTTGAAGGAAGCCTGAGGAGCCAGGAGGTGATGAGGAGGGAGAGCATTCCAGACATGGAGACAGAAAAGCCAGAAAGGGGCTAGAGACAGGGAGGCTAAAGAGGACTTTGAACACCAAACAGTTGATTTTGTATTTGAGCCCCAGAGGTGACAAGGAGCCACTGGGACTTACTGGCTGGGGGGCAGAACAAGAATTGTAACATGCTTGGACCTGACTGAATGAAGGAAGGACTAGAGTGGGGAGAGACTTGAGTCAGGCAGACCCACCAACAGGCTATTGGAATAGTCCAGGCATGAGATGATGAGAAGATGAAGGGCGAAAGGAAGAGGAAATAGAAATCATATGCTCCTAATAAATTCAGCTTTAATTACTTTTGTTAGACTACTATTTTTTCTGCCTCCAAAGGCTGACCTCCTTTTACACATTCCTAAAGTAGTTAACACTTGTACTTCCATTATTTTTTTCCACTTAACTTATAATTTTATAAATACAGCATGTCCCAAAAGGCTTAGTACAGTTTTAAGTTTTGACAACTTAAAAATGCACTAAGGCTTTTGGGATACCTTGCATGTTACAACAACAAAAAACATCTTTGCTCTACATTATATCTAGTATATTTTGTGTGTATGTACTTCAGCATAGGGGGCTAAGATGGCATAGAGAATAATAGAGTGCTGGGCCTGGAGTCAGGAGGACTCATCTATCAGTTTAAATCTGGCCTCAGACACATAGTTGCTGTGTGACCCTGGGCAAGTCACTGAACCTTGTCTGCCTCAGTTTCCTCAACTACAGAATGAGCTAGAGAAGTGGCAAACCACTGTATTATCTCTGCCAAGAAAACCCCAAATGGAGTCATGGAGAGTCAGATGCAAACGAAAAACAACAAAAAATTTTGACATAATTACCTTCCTTTGGATCCTATGCATTTTATTTTATGCACTTAAAAATATTCTGAGAAGTATATAGGTTTCATCAGATTGCCAAGGGAGTCCATGACACAAAAATGGTTAAGAATCCATTCACTAAAACATTTGTCTGATTTCACCTTTGCTCCCTTAATTCCCTATCCCATAATATGCTTCTGTCTGTTCTGTCACATCCTCCTGGCAGAAAGCAAGTTCCTGGGGCCAAGGACCATATGGTTGGTTTGGTTTTTTTTTTCTTTGCATCCCCATTGCCTAGTCCAATACCACGTACGTGGAAAGTACTTAATAAATTATTTGCTGAATTGAATTATTTTGGCTGATTACCATAACTGATTAAGTTATTACATAGTCCTAAAACAAGTTACCAAAAGATCACAAATCCTTTCAGGAGAGTATCTTCATGCATTCTAATGCCACCTTGGGAAGATAAAGGAGGTAGAAGGGTTAAATGCCCCATCTGACGAAGATGGACACTATGCCTTTCGTCAGAGTGTACTCCACTTATAAAGCAAAAAACCTAAGCAGAGCCAATGCACTATGGTAAAACTGGAGCATAGATATATAACTCCTATTATGGGAAGATCACCTATACCAGGCTCTTTTGGTTCTGCCAGGTGCACTATTTATAGCTTGCCAGGAGCAAAAGAATATAAAATCAATATCAATTTCACCATATGGAAACTAAAGTATGCTGTTGCTATAACTTTCTGACCTTTTCTCCATATCCATTCCCCTCCATATGCCAGGGAAAATATATTGCTAGGAGAAGGGTGTGAACTGGCTGTCTTTTTGTGAATGGGAAATCTTGTACTTTAAAAACAACAATTGTGTTTTTATTTTAGATATGGAATTTGACTTGGACAAACTAATACAATTCTCCCAAAATGTACTGCTTCCAACACGCGATCAAGAGACAAATCTAATGCCAAAAGAGGTTTGTGAAACTAGTTAATTTTGTCAAACAGCAAGTTTGTTCACTTTAATATGAACAATGTTAAGTTAAATTAAGTAAAATAAAGACTTACATGTCTGATAGATGTACATTGGAGAAATTCAACTGATCAGAAGGGTTCTTTTCAATTTATATGATAACAGGTGACATTTTACATACATCATCTCATTTGATCCTGACAGTTGGAACTATTACTATTCTCATTTTACAGATGAAGAAATTGAAGCTCAGAGAGGCTAAGGGACTTGCTGAGGATCATATAGTTGGCTACAGTCTGAAGCAACATTTGCACTAAGGGCTTCCTGACTCCAAGTTCCGCACTTGATTCACTAAACCATGTTGTTCTTTTGCCTGTAACTAGATTTTGAAGATTCTGAAAAGCCTCGTTTCATTCTGTGAAAAGTCAATAATCCCTCACTAAAAACACATAGTTTCTAGTTCTTTCATTTATAATCATTCTTCTTTTTACTTTAAAGTTCCATTGATGCCTCTTTTTCATTCTATTATAATTATTTCTAGATATGCCTGCAACCCACCTACCCAGTGAGCCTTCCTTTGTAACCAAAATAAAAGTTAGGCAAAATTAATCTACATAGTGAACCTTGTCTGACAGAACCTTGCCTGCCCTCATAGTCCCTCACTGCTCCAAAGTGAGAATGCAAATACATTTCTTCATTTCATCTCTCGGGCTGAATTTGATCATCATGATTACACAGCATTTAGCTTCATTGTAATTTGCTTTGCATTTACATTACTATGGCAATTATCTATATTATTTTCCTGGTTTTATTTAATTCCATGAGCATCAGTTCATATAAGCCTTCTAAGTTTTCTCTGAATTCTTCATATTTGCTATATCTACAGCAGAGTCATATATTCTATTATATTCATATGTCACCATTTGTTTGATCATTCTCCAATCAGTAGGAACCTATTTTGTCTCCAGATTTTTATCATCACAAAAAAGTCAGTTCAAAATCATTTATTACATGTCTACTATATGCTAGGCACTGTGCTAAATGCTGGGCACACAAAAAGAGGCAAAAGACAATTCCTGAATTCAAGGAGCTCACAATTAAGTGAGAGAAACAAGCAACAAATATGTACAAAAGAGCTATCAGACTGGAAAAATAGGGAATAATGAAAAAAGGATAGCACCAGAATTATGATGGGATGAGAAAAGCTTTCTTTAGAAGATGAGGGTTTAGTTGGAACTTGAAGGAAGCTAGAGAAGCAAGAAGGGAGAGCGTTCCAGACATAGAGGGTAGATAGAGAAAATGCCCAGAGCAGAGAGATGGAAAGAGAGGTCAGTGTTACTGGATCGAAGAGTATTTGGCAGGGAATAAAGTGTAAGGAGACTAGAAAAGTAGAAGGAGGTTAAGTTATGAAGGTTTGTATACCAAACAGAATTTCGTTTTTGATCCTGGAGGTGATAATATTTTGGTATGTATGAGACCATTCTATCTTTGTACATGTCCAGTAGTGGGTCTTCTGTCCCACTGATCTCTGGGGCAGAGGGCATGAATAACGTAATGACTTTCCTCATGTGACCCTAAATTCTTTTCCCAGTACATTAATCATCTTTTTAAGATTCATGTGATGAACTTGCCTTTTTTTGGTAGTGGGACAGTAATGATGATCTCCATGTTGGTCCAAGAAGTTTACTTCCTGACTAATTCTACTCAATCTTAGTGCAGCAGCTGCCAGAGAACATGTTACAAAGAGGGATCAAGAAGATCATAAGTAATCAGTGCTCCCTATCCGTATCTTGAATTCTATATTTCCTTATCGGATACCATCTTAGAATAGAGAGAGGAAGAGATCACTTTCTTGATGTTAGCACTATTCAGTTCTGAAATTTGGTTTTGAACCATTCCTGGATATAACTGTTGCTTCCCAGAAGAAGTCAACAGAATTGCCAAATTGAATTTCTTTATCCAGGTTTTGAGAACTTAAATGACCTAAGCCCCTAACTTAAACTCAGAGATATTTGATATGTTACGCTCTTCATCTCCCCACTTATGGAAAACAAGCTTATGGGGTTTTTTTAGGACTGCCTAGTATGAACAAGTTGGATTTATACCATATTCGCAAGTGTAGCTCAACATTAAGAAAGCAATAATGTAATCATTATTAACAAGGACTTCCAAAACCACATGATTATATTAATAAATTCACAAAAAGACTTTTACACTGCACAAGATTCACTTAACACTAATTTTTTTTAAAAAAACATACAAAGCATAGGCAGAGAAAGAACTTATCTTAATATGATTAAAAAAAAAAGTATCTATGACCAAAATCAAGCATTATGTTCAATGGAGAAATACTAGTTTTCCTCATAAATGTAGGAGAAAACCTAGAAAGTCCCTTCCCCAATTTTATTTCACATATCCTGCATATACATATTCTAGCAATTGCAATAATACAAAAAGAAAAGAAAAGGCATAAAAATAAATAAAAGGAGATAAAACTATCCCTATTCACTGATGGCATGATAGTGTTTTTAGAAATCCTAATAAATCAGGAAAGAAACTAATTGATACATTTAACAATCTCAGTAAAGTAAAAAGATATAAAAACCTACAAAAATTAGCGTTCAGCAAACTAAGGTTTGACCTTACGTCGGACAAATTGGCAAAGCTTATAAAAATTGAAATAGTTAATTTTGAGAGTTTGTACAAATAAAACACATTAGTACACTATTGGTAGAGCTATGAATTGATCCAACTATTCTGGAAAGCCATTTGGAACCATGCTAATGAAATGTCTAAAATACCCATACCCTTTGACCCAGAGAATCTATTACTCGGTTTATACTCAAGGAAGTCAGTGATAAAAAGAAAGGTCCAAATACTCTCAAATCTTTATAGCAGCAGAGACCTGAAAACAAAGCAGATGCCCTTAGGTGGAGGAAATATCTGAACAAACTGTGGTACATGAATGTCACTTAATGCCTCATTGCCTTTTTCGTCATCTGTAAAATGAGGAGTTTGACCTCTAAGATCCCTTCCAGCTCTACAGCTATGATCCTATAATCCTAGTGGAAGAAAAGTGTAAGAAATGATGAATATGGAGAACAAGATTTATATGAATAAATTAATTTTAAAAATTAGTATTTACTCTATGCCAAGCTCTATGCTAAATATTAGGGATACAAATAAAAATCAAAATAATCTCTGCCAACAAAGAGTTTATATTCCAACAAGAGAACACAATCCATAAAGAGGAATGCTGGCCAAGGAAAGTCATTATGGTTTAGAAGGGGGTGGGTGTGGTGAGAGGAACAATAAGGGAATACCCATTCGCTCGTACATCTACTCCTTAATATGCCCTTGCTGATTGTTGTTGTTTAGTTGTGACCCCATTTGGGGTTTTGTTGGCAAAGATACTGGAGTGGTTTGCCATTTCCTTCTCCAGCCCATTTTATAGATGAGGAACTGAGGCAAACAGGCAAACTAAGGCAAGTGACTTGCCCATGGTCACACAGGTATTAAGTGTCAGAGGTTGGATTTGAACTCAGGAAGATGAGTCTTCCTAACTCCAGGCCCAGTGCTCTATCCACTGTACCATCTAGCTACCCTTTCTAGTAGTGACCTAATATATAGTTCCTTAACTAGAAACCAGGTAGGAGGGTAGGGGAGTTGTTAAGCCCATCAGAGCACGGTCTTAGGCCTGAGTAGCAAAGTGAGTGGTGAGGAGACTTCTGGGAAGTATATGAACTGATAAGGACAAAGCAAAATCAGGACAATAGCATATACACAATCACCAAAACAATGAATATGAAAATAACAACCATAACAAAGCCACAGAAACTGAATGCTATGAAATTATAATGACCAAGCTTGGGTCCAAAGATGAGACCTTAGAATATACCTCATTCTCTTTTTTGTGGAGTTTGGAGACTATCAGTGTGGTTTGGTTGATGTATTACTTAGTTTTTCTGAGTTATTTTCTTTTTTGTTCTTTGTTATAAGAAATTACTCTCTGGAAAAGGCATAAGGGAAGAATATATTGAGAAATGTAAATAATATTAAAACAAAACTATAAGTAAAGGTTATTTTAAAGGAAAAAAAGGATTGCTCAAAATACATAGTATGGTGTAGCAGGTGAAGTGTTAGATTTGGAGATAGGAAGATCTGGGTTCAGATTCCCATTTCTAACATTTGGTAACTTTGTGACCTTAGGTATGTCCCAATAACTTTGTGCCCTAAGCTAAACTTATTTACCAAGACAATTAATGTTGGGGGAAGGGGGAGTTCCCACACTGAGCTTCAAAGAATCCCTTGAGATTGCCTATATTGTTACTGCAAAAAGGGATAGGTCTAAGTGAACCGGTCATTCACTGTTAGCCTGTTTTTATGCTTCCATGAATTCAATTATCTCTATGCAGACATGATTCCCAGATATAGATAGATAGATAGATATGCACACACAACTATAGTCTCTCTTCTGATCTCTAGTTCTACATCACCAATTGCTTATTGAACATTTCAAAATCGATGTCCTGTAGGCACCTTAAACTCAACATGTCCAAAAAAGAATTCATTAGCTTTCCCTTAAAACCCTTTCTTCTTCTGAACTTCTCTATTACTGTGGAGGGTGCTACCACCCTTTCTGACCAGGCTCACAACCTCAATGTCATCTGCAAATTCTCATATTTACTCATTCCACGTATCCAGTCAGTTAACAAATCTTGCCATTTCTATCTCTCCCATCTCCCCAATGGTTCAAACTCTCCTCACCTCTCACTTAGACTATCACTAAGTCTTCTAATTGTTCCCCCTACCTCAAACCTCTCCACATGTCAATCCATCCTCTACTCATCTAATAAAGTGCTTTTCCTAATGTGTAGGGATGCTCATGTCACTTCCCTTACTCAAATTCCAATGACTATCACCTCCAGTTTGTATTTAAAACTCCTCAAACCCTACCCTCTTCCTACCTTTCTAATCTCCTTGCATTCTATTCTCCCTTAAGTACACTATAGTCCAGTCATACTAGCCTATTTTCTGTCCTTTATATAGAACAAACATACCCTCTTCATCCCTGTGCCTTTCCAATGGCTGGCTGTTCCCACTCCATGTTTTCAAAGTTCTTCTTTTGATTTGTTCATGCAAGACATTTCAGATTAAGAATGTAATTTCTCGTCACCTAGGCTTGCTGATGACTTTTACAACAGAATAAAACTGTGCGTGTCCATGGTGCTCTTCATAATAAGTTTTGACCAATACAGAGAATCTATTAGTCTATAGTTTTTTCTATATTTTTAACAAAAGACATCATCACTTTTTTACTTTTTTTACTTTTCATAATAAACTGACTGGTGAATTGCTATCACCTTTAATAAAATGTGTTCTACAATCATATTGTATATTGAATGATGAAGAGTGAAAGTATTCTACTTGATTAGAGTATCAGCAGATGCTCACCTAAGGAGATTATTTAATTCTTTGAAATAATAAAGACATAGAAAAATAACCCTCTAGAAATCAATACTTAGTAATGTATGCTTTAATAAATTATTTTTCTCTAATTTGAAGAATATTTTCAAGCTCTTTCTTCCAATTTGTTATAATTAATATTTGATAGTGATTCTAACTATAGCTGTTTCTCTTGTTGCACAGAATTTGAGAAATTACATAAAAGTATACCTAATTGACTTTTTTTCCCTTGCAGTCTCATAATATTGGCCACGATCCAGAATTTAGCCGTGATCTCTTCAGGGTTGCAGGCCAGAGTCCTCTGGTAGCATATTATCTGAAGGTGCATGACATCGCAATAAATCCAAGACTCCCCAGGTCTTGCAAGATTCAAATAACTCAAATTTTCCGATGGCCATATCCTTCTGAGTTTTGTTTCATATGTTTCGTATTTCATATTCGTAAAATATTCTATATTTAAATGTCTCAGCTAGTGAAAGATACAAAACTTGTATTTCTCACTAATTTAGTTATTTCCTTTTTCATTATGTTCAAGAGACTATTTAGAGTACTTTTTCTTCATTCCATATTTAAAGTAGTGTTTATATGGGGAATGATTGAGCAGGGATGTGGAAAACTGATAGACTCGATTATCTTTTAGCCATGTTAAGAACCATACCAAATTAAATAATTGATTTCACCTTCTTATCAATACATTGTTGATAATGAAGAAATCTACAGTGTCCTGTAGGCTTCTAGCTCATTCTCCAGAGCTCTAGTTACCTTCAGTGTCACCAAAGCATACCTTTTTCCCTGTCAAAAGGAGTCCCACCCTTGGGAGGATCCCAGAGCATTAGAAAGATAGGCAGACATTAATGCTAAATTCATGTGCTGTAAGACCAGTCTTGTCTTGACTGAAAAATGGGATAGTAATTATCTGTCATGTAAAAGGGTACTTCCTTACTATAGACTAGATTCCACTTGTGGGTGATGATGATGATGATGATGATGATGATGATGATGATGATATTAATGTAATTACTATTAACAACAAAAAAACTGACATTTACATAGCATTTTAAAGTCTACAAAGTACTTTATATTCATTATTTCATTTAAGTCTCACAACAAGTCCATGAGGTAGATACTACAGCCCATCTTCACATAGTAAGCTGTGCCCAAAACTTTTTTAATGATGCTGTTGACAATAGAAGACATTTTTTATTTTATGACCATGTGTCCAAGACAATTTCTCATAAACATACATATGCACATGTATGTGTGTGTGTGTACACACACACACACACACACACACACACATACACACACACACACACACACACACAAAAGCAACTTCTGAGATTTTACACCCCCTAACCAATTTTTATTAGGGCTAACTCCAATTCTTAAACAAATGCCTATTGGTTGTCTAATACAGGTTGAGCAACTAATTTACTTGAAAAGAATAAATTAACTGAAAGATGCATATCTGAAATAGCTTTAAAAACAAAAATTTAAGGTATTTTCCCAATGAACATAAGATGAAGTGCACCTTTCCCCATATTAGAAACACAATCCTTCTAAAAAAAAATAGTATAGGGGCAGCTAGGTGGTGCAGTGGATAGAGCACCAGCTCTGCAGTCAGGAGGACCTGAGTTCAAATCCAGCCTCAGACACATAACACTTACTAGCTGTGTGACCCTGGGCAAGTCACTTAACCCCATTGCCTAGCCAAAAAAAAAAAAAGATATCAAAAAAAATAGTATTTCAGAGAAAAGGTTTATCATATTAGCCATGGTAGGATTTCATCTTTTCTTCATACATATTTGTTCAGTAGGTGAGAAGGTATCCTAAGAGAGTATATTCTCTGTTTTAAAAAACTTTAAAAGCATTTAGACTTTCACCTTGCATCACTTCAGTTTATGGACATCTAGGGATATGGGGTGTTCAGGGAGGACTACTAGTGAGGGCTTGCCAAGTCCTTTTCAGGGCTGCTCATCCACTTTTGGTGCCTACCTTTCCCCAACTCTCACCTGTGGCTGCAAGAAGCTGTAACATGTTCAGTGGCCACATTCTGGTAAAATTGTCTCAGCAGACCAGCTAAACTAGGTTGAGGTTAATTGATGGGCCTCAGACCCATCAATGAATTAGGGGGATATGTACCCCAAAGTTGGGAAGACTTCCCCCTGCAAAATGGGCAAATGAAAACAATTTGTTCCAACAGTCATGAAGACAGCTAAAACAGGCACTATGGAACACTTATAGCTTGGTCAGACCATTGAATATGCCAAGGTCATCCATTGCATCCTGGGCTATCTCCAGTCATCCTGACTTTGTCTTGCCATTGGACTTTGATGACTCTGGAAGAGAAAATGAGGCTGACGACTTTGTGCAACTCTGCTGCACTTAAATCCAATTCACACACAAGTCAAGACATCATCAAAGATGTCTTTGGTCCTCTTCAAAAATGAAGAATGAACAAAAACTCAGTGTGGACATTAAATCAGGTTAACATCCCTGCTGTTTCATCTATTCTGCCTTTTGTTTGGGGCCTGCCAGTCAGGGAGGATCTTGGGAGTCACAGGAGTTTCATCACCCCATCATTGTCTATGTGAGAGGAGAAGAAGAATGAGGAAATAGTTCCCCAAAGAGGTGTTGCTATTATTGTATATTCACAATCATAGATTTAATAGGAATTAAAAAGAATTGTTTAATCAAAAATCAGGTGGTTTTCAAGGACCAAGGAGTTGAAGCCGACATAAGGAAATAAGTGGTCAAAAGAATAGACTTGATCTTAACATGGGTCCATTTTTTATTGCCTGCCCAGCTGAGTATGCTGGTTCATAGCCCTCAGCTATGCATTAAAAGCAATGTAGCTTTCCCTGTCAGGGAGAAGCTTTCTAAACTAGCATACCTAGTAGATGGTAGCAACAAATGACCTGAAATAGCTTAAGCTCAGCAGATAATAGCACAGAGTAACTTGGTGACCAGGAGAGCAAGAAAAACAGTCAGCATATACCTGGAGGAGAGCAGCACAATGATGCTGCTAACAACAGAGGACACTGGCAGCTTTGTGGTATCAGAAGTGACATTATCAGAGGACACTGGGAGCTCTACAGCATCAAAAGGGTGAGTTACCCTAGCTGTGCATATGCTGTAATCATATGGGACCCTACATGTAGACTTTCTGTCTATGTGTGCCGTGTTCACATGACATCAACCAGGTGCCCTTTACATATGTTTCCAGAGGAAATGTATTCCCTGTGCATGTACCCTGCCATGTTTTTGGTCACATCTGTTCTTTGTACGTGTGTGCCCTTCCCCACTGGTGGTGGAGTGACCCGTGGGAGAGAATAACTCATGTATTCATGTTGGAATCTTCTTTCTTGCCATTTAGGTATGCTATTTGAGGATTTTTTGTTGTTTTGCTTTGCTTTGAACTGTGTTCTCTAGTTATTGGTGTGGATGTTTGCCCAAAGAGTCCCTTCAGCTTAGGGCAGCTTTTCTGAGGGGAATCTCAGGAACTACAAAAGTAAAACTCAATCAATCAATCAATCAATGAACATTTATCAGGTACTTCCTATGTTCTAGACACTCTGCTAAGTGCTAAAGATAAAAATAGAAAGAATGAAACAATCTTTACTCTCAAGCTTACATTCTCATGGGGAGAGAAGTATACAAGTATGTATGTAAATATATAATTATATAAAGAATAAATATAAAGTAAATACAAGGTCAATTGGGAGAAAGAACAGTAGGAGTTGCAAGAATCCACAAACAATTCATGTAGAAAGTGGTTGTTGCAGACTAGTTTTTCAGGTTCAGAGACAGAATAAAATGAGAGGTTTATAGACCTTTTAAGAATGAAATATGATAACTAAGCTCTTTTTTTTTGGTCATGGCATTCAGGTACTCCAATGATTCTTATTTTTTTCTCCCCTCAATCTGTTTTCCAGATCAGTTGTTTTTGGTATGAGATACTCTACATTTTTGCTACTTTTTTTTTAGCCTTTTGACTTTGTGTAAATATTTCTTGTTGTCCCAAGGATCAATGTGCTTCTTTCTGGTCATTTCTAATTTTCATGGAGTGTGTTGCTTGGGCAAAGTTTTGTACCTCTTGTGCAAAACTGTCAATTCTCTTTCCAATTCTTTCCTTCAGAACTCTTATTTCTTTTCCATTTTTTTCCTCAAACACTCTCATTTCATTTATAAAAACATTTTTTTCTCATTTTGAGCCCTTGCCTCATCTCTTCGAGGAATACTCATTGGATTTGTGCTGAAGTCATGTTTTTCTCTAAGGCATTGTTTATAGGTGTTTTGGCCCTTCTGAATTTGTGTCTCAAGCATCCCTATCACCAAAATAGCTCTTTATGGTGAGATTCTTTTTTTGGTTTGATCATTTTTCTTTTTCTTTTTTTTTTTTAAGGCAGTTGGGGTTAAGTGACTTGCCCAGGGTCACACAGCTAGTAAGTTTCAAGTGTTTGGTCTGAGGCCGAACTTGAACTCAGGTACTCCTGACTTCAGGGCCGATACTCTATCCACTGCACCACTTAGCTGCCCCCATTTGATCAATTTTCAAGGCTATTTCCCAACTTCAGATTTTATGTTAATGCTGGGCTCCGCCACACTTTTGGATGAAAGATCTAGGCTGATTCTGTTGCTACTTTCTTGGGGTATTGAGTGTTGTGTTATTTCAAGGTGTCAGGGACAGGCTAAGGACCTGCAAGTTTTCAGTACTTACAGTCTGAACCAGGGAAAAGTCTAATTGCTTTCCCCATCTGAGCTCTGCAAGCTCCTGACCTGGGTTTGAGTCAGAGGAATAATGGACTACTACAGGACTCAGGCCTTGTAGCCAGCTTGGTAGTCCTACTGCTTCAAAGAGACAATTGCAGCTTCTCCTTTGTCCTGGGATTCCTGCCCTGGTTATTTATCTGCAGGCTGAGCAGACACTAGAAATGAGGTCCCAGTCTGCTTCTGGGTCTGAGCCAAACTGCTTTGGCTTGCCTCTGAACTTGCTTCTTTTTCAATACACCACCCAGGGTTTTCCTCCTCTGGATGCCACTCCCAAGCACAGGTCCCCTTCTCAGTCCACCCTGGATCTGTGACCAAAACTGAATAGTGCCAGTTGGCACCTATCCCCATTGGGGGTACCTTGGTATAGGGTGCCCTAGTATAGATCTCGGACCTTTTCTTGTCCTGATGCACAGCCTCTCCCTAGGTGTGCGCACATGGCAGTGTCTGGTGTCAGCAGACCTCCCCCTTCCTGTCTCCCTATGCCAACCTGAGTTGGACAAAGGACTCATTGTGACTTTTTCTATATTTCCCCATTGTGGATCTGTTTCAAGGAGGTGTAGGTAGGAGATAAGCTATGTTACTTCCTGCTACTCCATCATGATGGCTCCTCCCCCATTATCACT